CTGGATCATACAATGATTTTACTTAATGTGAACAGCAGAAAAATAGTGGAATATCCTGAAGACATTAAGTCAATCTTCAATTCCGGTTAAAAGATGAAATCAACTAAGGTTTGTCATTCAAATAAATATGTTAGAACGTATTATGTTATAACTTAAGTTTATTGATTTCATCAATATAAATAAATTATCAAGTTACGCGGCCTTGTCTAAGCTGTGTTCAATATAATATCCTCCTCCCAACGTCGGTAATTTCACTGTTTCTCTCTACCCTGCATCTCACTTCTCTCACTGCTTTCTACTAATCACACCTGCTCAATAAATCCCCCTTTAATCCTCTGTAATGACACGGTTTATCTCTACCCTTCATCTTGACTATTTTAATGACAATATTAATTCAATCCTAAAATGTGCCATCATGTAATGATACCGTTCCCGTTATATAATATAGATGTACTACGAAACACGGGCGTAATTCTTGTTATACTTGATAGATAGCTTGTGGATCTCAGATTATTGCAAAATTATACCCAGCCACATGGACTTAACAACTGCCGGAATAAAGCTCAGATCAAACAGATACCGCAAATTGAGTTCAGTTGAGCTGAACATCCTGCACCCTTTGAACAACCTCGATTTGCTTGAATCTTAAAAATGGTGAGCTGGAAGCCAGTCTTACAGGTTCTACTCGGACGTATCAGATCTACTTCAGCTAGTGAGTTATGTCCAATTTAAGGTTAAGACTGGATCTGGAGGAGTCATTTTAGGGCCTACGAAATAATTCCCATCGGTATTTTGTTGAGCTGAACATCCCGCACCCTTTGAACAACCACGATTTGCTTGAATCTTAAAAATGGCGAGCAGGAGGCCAGTCTTACAGATTCTACTCGGACGTATCAGATCTACTTCAGCTAGTGAGTTATGTCCAATTTAAGGTTTAGGGGGCATTATTGCAAAATTATACCCAGCCACATGGACTTAACAACTGCCGGAATAAAGCTCAGATCAAACAGATACCGCAAATTGAGTTCAGTTGAGCTGAACATCCTGCACCCTTTGAACAACCACGATTTGCTTGAATCTTAAAAATGGCGAGCAGGAGGCCAGTCTTACAGATTCTACTCGGACGTATCAGAGCTACTTCAGCTCTGAGTTTTGTCCAATTTAAGGTTAAGACTGGATCTGGAGGAGTATTTTTAATGCCTACGAAATTATTTCCGCCGGTATTTTTTGATCTGAACATCCGATATTATATACCATTATCCACATGTGGAAAGTGCTTTGCAGTGTTTGAAGTCATTGGATTTCCATTGTGGAACTTAATCCCACCAAATATTCATAATATCGAAGATCCTCTGCAGACGTCTTTTGAGTGCAGCTGCACATGAGGGACATTTGCTAGGTAGCAAACAGCAAACTTTCATTGAAAAATTCTGTGCACACAGGCGAGGGACACAAAAAGTACTGTGAAGTCTCTCTGCTCTCAACCACTTTCTGAGATGGTTTCTTTTTCATCCAGTCCCATGAGTTCAATCAGATCCTTCATCGCTTCATATAACTAGTTATGTCTCACAGTGAATGAAAGGAACTGCAATATTTTCTGATAAATAAAACTCGGCATCCTTATCGACTAGGCTAATATCACCAAGAACACCTTCAGCTTCCATTCCAATGTCTGGAGAATTAGATTCCATCCAATAGTCATCGTGAGAACAAAAAGGTTATTAAACTCTCTAAATCCTGGGAAGTTCTAAGTCAGCACTTGAAGTATCACATTGCTCGTTGACAACAGTGTCTTGCTTCTCTGACATAATACTGAGATGTTTGGGAACTGAAGAAAAATATTCAGAGCTAAAAATACTTTGGATGTAACACTGTTTCGGGCTTCATAACACTGTCACAGTTTAAGTAATACGGAATAATACGACTACAGCATTGCTGATCTATTTCTATTTCGGGCTACCCCAGGTGTAACCGGACAGGAACTTTTCCTCCGAACTTTGCCTCCGAATTTTTCCTCGTGTAGCCCTGATTTAAAACGACCTCTACACTGCTTTCAATGTGTTACTCCAATTTCTGCGTTTATAAGGTTTCTGTTGTGACAAACGGTTTCAGTTACTAGATTCCCCAGGTCACTCAAATTAAAACCTCTAGAGCTCTAGGTACCTGCACAAGATACGGGAAATGATTGAGAGCTGTGAATGCTTCAACTTTTCTACTAACTACTCACTAGATAAGGCGCCGGTGTTTTTTGGTAATCTTGATATCTATTCTTCTTTCACTAAAATATGATATATCCAAAAATCTCATGGAAACAGAATTATTGTTTTATATACATAATATTATTAATAATATGTAATTTAAGCAATAGATACGTTTCTTACCACATTGTCATGGTAATATAAACTTCTCTGGAACTTCTCTTTGTACTGCTCCCATACAATTGCCAAAACTCTCTAAAACGCAACTACTGTACAGTGTACTTACATACAGACCGTACTACGATAATAATAATATTTTTATAATCAAATATTGAACGGTTTTTAGCAGAATGTAGCATATATTTTAGATAAATACAATTAATTGTTGAGGTGCTCCACTAGACGAAGTGACACACCCTTGTGGATTCCAGTTAACATTAACCCAAGGCTGCCCCAAATGATCCAAACATCTGGACCTAACATGGCTCATGATATCAATCCCCAGCTGCTTCAGTTTGCTGGAGAGAACAAACCTTGGCATTCAACTAGGAGCAATAACCAATAAAAAAAAGATACAAAAAGATACACAGGTAGGTCACAATGGTTATAGGGGTAGGCCTGTGAGCAAGGGAGTGTGTACCACCAGCCTAAGCTGTATAATTTCACAGCTTAATGACTGGCTTACTTGCATCCAACAGGATTTGTACCCAGGCATTCTGTTTGTTACCACTACACCAATCGAATCGTGGTACCACTAAATCAAAAAAAGAAATAAAACAATTATAAAAGCTGTATACAAGCTGTATACAGTTTACCTTGTTTGATATCCAGGCACTCGTATCTCGGATACGATATTCGTCGAGTTTTAACTCGGCAACAGCTTTCTTTGCCTCATATCTTACTGCCGCAACTTCCCCGATATCTGCATTCACACATATCAGTTAAGAAACAACATTCAAGCGGGTCACATTATTCCAAAGTTATCAACATTTGAAGGTCAGCACAAGTATTGAGGACACAGGAAAGCTGTGAACTTACTTATAATTTAAATATCACTAAAAACTTACGTCCTCTTTATTGACTAGATCGAGTATCGATATACCCGCAAACTTGCTCACGTCTTCTGATTTTCATTGTCACTGGCATTATCGATCAAGCTACATAACAGATCAACTCGGGCGGTGTTCAGGCAGAAGAGACAAAAACTTCAGCTACTCCAGGCATTTAAATTTGTAAAGATATCAATGTACAATAATTTAAATTAAACTGTGGAGGATTAGGAGAATAGGAGTAGTAGAAGAAGAAGTAGGAGGAGGAGGGGGAGGAGGAGATAAGAACGATAAGGGACTCATGCACATTGAACAATCTAATTCTATTTGTGATACTGGTTACAATACCATATCATAAACGAGTTGAAGCTTTGAAGAAACAAGTTTTACTCTTGTTATTTAATTCTTGTTTTTAAAACAATGTTTGGGATTTTCAGATATGTATTCTGTCCGGTTTATATTTTATTGTGTTGATGATTTAGTATTTAATTTTATTTACTTGTATCTTAATAAAGAGCCGTACTTTATGATAAATTGGTAACCCAAATTCTCTTCCGCAGCCTTCTCAGTTCTCGGCCTCTCAGCTCAATGTCGGTCACATTTGGTCAATTTGACAGGAATCGCTGTGTCGACAAGATAAAAGGCACACCTGGTTTGTTTATACAACTTAAATTTGCTTCCTCTTGCCCTTCATATTTGATTGGTTGCTGGATCAACCTCAGTATCAACCTTTGTACTTTATGAATATTAAACAATCATGGATAAAAAGAATGAGATAACTCATAATTAATCCACCTTTTTATCCAGGTTACGAAGTTCTAAAGAGCGGCAGCCGAAAAAAATGCCTTCTGAACGAATGGTCGCAGCCGACAGCTGAAATTATAATATTAGGATTGTTTAGGACTGATATTTGATATGATGCGACCGACCGCGATTCGATGAAAAGTTGTGTCAGCGGTTTTTGCTTGACACCGGACAGACAAACAAACACTTATGACTTTGCTTTATAAGTAGTAAGATTTTCACGATTGTTACCTATACCATCTATAATGACGATTAAGACGTAATGATATGGAAATTGCCTAACAAATGCGGGAATTGCTATTGTTTACAACATTTTCATCAAATAATTTACAAAATAGCCTTATGTGTAAGAGCTGCCTGTGGGACAGGGGCACGTGATCTAGTTATCCTGTTAGACCAAGGTTCCCCTAACTGTCTGATGACGCCATCTGTTACAACAGTGAGTTACCAATTATTGGATCTACCTTGTCTTCATATGATGCACTTTATAATTTTATATGTTTGCACATCGTCTTTTCAATGTATGTAAAATCTTAAAATTCTTAAAAGAGTTTCAAGTGTTCAGTTCAAGTGTCCAGTATATGTAATATGTATCTGCGGAATTTAGACCGATAAAGTTTTGATTCCGTAGAAATTAATTAGACACGTTTGCTTTGCGGCCACTTGGCGGATCATGTGATTCAATAAGCACTGCCTTTGCCATGATTGGAAGTGGAATTCATTATCAAAGCCTCTAACTTATTCTTCCCAGGTGTTGTGACGCACTACACAGCCGGGTAGTTTGTAAAGCACTGTCTTTGTAAACTGTAAAGAGTTCACTGCCGAAAACTACTATCGAATACCTGGAATCGGGGAATTCCGTGTCCTCCGGGAACATTTTAGACACAGAAAGGTAAATTTACTGATAAATTGTTTGCAAACTGTTGTAATTTGCTATCGTTGCCGGATGTCCATTGGTTCCGGACAGGCTTGCATACTGACAATTCATACCGTACTGGTCATTCATCTTTTACATTACCAGTAGCATATAATACATATCATTATACAATACACACGCTCAAACACGGTTTTTTTCGACTTTTTTCGGTTTTTCGGGCTGCCCTTCTCCCCTGAGGCCACGATGAAAAACATACAATATATTATATAATCTTTATTCTTTATATGTTACATGCATTCCCCTGCAGTAGTGAAAAGTAAATTGTTTGTTTTATTTCAGTGTCGACAGCTCAAACTATGGTGGTATCTTATCGCTACAATGCTGCTAACTAGACTCTTGGATGAAGTTAAGTTGTTTTAGTCAGATGATCTACTTTTTGGCGTTTCCTACTGCCCTAGTTATAGTAGTTCAAGGTTTAACTGTAAATATAGTGTTAAGTAAGTTTCAATACTTCCCTGCCACCTTTTCAGACATTGCAGAGATGTGTGACCGCACAATTCTCAAACCGAAGAATCAAAAGGAGTTATTGATTTATCGGTATATAAAGTATGTATGCTTTATCAAACAAAGCCACTAGGTAAGCAAATTCAAATATTTTGACAGTTCATACTGCGGTTATACATTGCAGCCAATGCGCAGCAAACAAGAGCTTGCCACGAGCTTGCCACTGCTATAAGCATTCGTATTCGTAGCTTGTTTGAATCTCAAATTTATTCGAATTATCATAAGTAGCCGGAAGCCCGTCCTGCGGACGGAGTTCTTCAGCACAAAATCGATTCTCAAACATTTTAAATCTACCCTTTCTCATTTCTACTTCTTTTCCTTTCACAATTTTCATGTTTTTTAAAAACTTCTTACCCCTATCCATGTCACCTATGATTCATGCATTTCTAGCTTCTCGGACAGTGCTGTCTTTTCCCTCATTGGCAAATCCTGAAAGTTTTATGAAAAATATAGATCAGAGTTATGTTTGTTCTGCACGTCTGCATTTCAGGTATTCGTGACACAGTTTACGTGTGATGACGTGGGCATCTCTCAACACACTTTGCAGCATGAGCGACGGTGCCCTGGCGGGATATCTGGAAATGTAGCCTTGAGCTCAGTTTATTTTTCTCCGTCACCTCACCCGGGGGAGGGGGGGGGGAGCCAATGACTTTGGGTAATTTGGGGACAAGTGCAGAATTTCGCCAGCAATTTAACCTCAAGTCTCCAAGATTTTTAGCCCCCATTGGTACCCAAAAGTCTCCTTTAGAAGTCATTTAATAAAAGATAATATCAAAACTACATAAAACTCGCCAAAACTTTGGGTACTTATGGGGACAAATGGAAAATTTCACCAGCGATTTGACCTTCAGTCCCTATGATTTTCGTCCCCATTGGTGCTCAAAAGTCTCCATCAGTAGTCATTGCCCCCCCCCCCTCATCCTGTGTCGGCTGTATGCAATTCTGATTGTACCACGGTTAAAAAATGCCAGTTAAATGTACCAACTCTCGTTTTATTTATTGTACCGACTCTCGCTCTTCGACCACGCTTTTCGTCTACTTGGCGTAGGGCGCGGTAAGATTTCATGTAATCACGCACACACGTATCGCGCGCGATGTAGAAATAAGTGCACATGGTCTTGAACCCACGTGGGTTCAAATGACCCCCGTAATCCATGTGGTGGGGCAGGAGGGTCAAGCACTGTTTTTTCTGAAATGAACCTCCTGATCCATGTGGTGGGGCAGGAGGGTCAAGCACTGTTTTTTCTGAAATGAACCTCCTGATCCATGCGGTGGGGCAGGAGGGTCAAGCAATGTTCTTTTCAGGTTGACCCTCCTGCGCCATTATAAACAGAGTTATAATATTTTTTGTGACAAAATTAAACTATTTTGACCATGTAATAAGATGTTTCAATTGTGACACTGTAAACGTATTACTACCACATAATAATTTATGTGACTGGTGCGTGGTTGTATTAGTGTTAATTGATTAAGCATTAACAGGGGGACTGTAAACTAAATATTTATTTTTTAAATTTTTCTTTTTCTTTTTAGTAAATTATATTAATATTATAAATCAAAACCTCATGATATTGTTATTATCTTAACAGTTACTGTTGTAACTTAAGATTTTAAATTTACATTCCTCGTATTCCTTGTATTCCTTGTATTCCAGTACGTAATATAGGGTGTTTAAGCTAGGGTATTTCAATATTTGCTAAATTTTGGTTTTAAAATCTTCAGACTTTATGCTGTTGTATTTAAGAAAATATATGAGGAATTTTTAGGGCACCCTGACAAGGAATGCTGAGTAGTGCAGTAGGATTACTTGATGATCTGGAAGTACTGGGAATTACGATAATATCATACAGTCGCACAAATATGAAATAAGTTTACTTTGTCACAATACTCTTGATGATATCTGTGAAAATTGAGCAAATATTGAGCAAATATTGAAATACCAGCTTAAACACCCTATATTACGTACTGGAATACAATGAATACAATGAATACAAGGAATACAAGGAATACAAGGAATACAAGGAATACAAGGAATACAAGGAATACAAGGAATACAAGGAATACAAGGAATACAAGGAATACAAGGAATACAAGGAATACAAGGAATACAAGAAATACAATGAATACAAATTTAAAATGGTAAGTTACAGCAGTTAAGATAATAACAATATCATAAGATTTTGATTTATAATATTAATATAATTTACTAAAACATTATTTGCCTTATGATGAGTTATAATTTTGTTCACTTTTACACATTTGCTCACATCACTCACAGTCAGCCGCTCTGACATGGTTAACCACCTTCCTTGTGTTGTTGGTTAATCATATGATTTCATATATTTTCTTAAATGCAACAGCATAAAGTCTGAAGATTTTAATACCATGTAATTATACGACACTCAATGTGATGATCCGTAAAATAGGATATGGACTAATAACTCAACAATCTAAAGCATGTTGACTTTAAAACCATGCTGATCTATACTTATCCACTTAATGTGATGATTTTGAACAATTTCATGTTCAAGATGAACATTTAGTATGAAATGTGTCAATTGCTACAAGCAAGAGCGTAAGAAGTTTTTGGGGTATTATAACTCAATAACCTGATGTCTGAGGATTTTTAAATAACACTCTACCCACTCAATGTGATAATTTAGAACACTTCAATGCCCAAGTTTAGCTCCTTACTCTAATCAGAAACTGAGTTATTTTGATTGTAAGTGCTGTTATTGTTACTCGCGAGAGCCCAAAAGGGTGTGGTCATATAACAGTAGTAACTCATTAACCAGAAGTCTGAAGAGTTAATTACGTTCTACTAAATATGATGATTTAATGCCCAAATTTAGCTCTTTTATACTCCAATCAGAAACCGAGTTAATTTGATTTTAGCTGTTGTAATTGCTACTCGCGAGAGCGTAAAAATAGGTTTTGGGCTAATAACTCAACAGCCTGATGCCCAAAATTAGTTCCTTACTCCAAACAGAAACCGAGTTATATCAACACTGAGTTGAGAATCTCAACTCAGTGTTTTAAAAACACTGAGTGGAGATTCTCACTTCGTCAACAATATCATTAAAATAAATGATTGACCCACTCGTAAGAGCGAAGAAAGATTATCAAAACAACAAATACATTGGAAATAATGTACTTTATACTTGACAGAGTCAGAGGAAGCAGTTCCCCCGATTCATTTGCTCATTCTGATGTGCCAAAAACATTCATTATGAAAAGTAACGAAGTGAGAATTAATTAAAGTGAGAATTAGAAATAAATTAGAATTATAATTAAATTTACACAGTAATACAATAAGAATAAAAATAATTTAAAGAAGCTTCAAACTGCTGTGCAGGACATTCAAGTCAGTCAAAAACTGTTAGAAGAATACCCTTCTAGTATAGGCCGGACATAAAATCAAAACTTATAATATGTAATAAGCTATAAGTCAATGAATATGGTACAGTGAGATATAAAATTAAACTTTGGGTATGAATGTAACCATTTAATTTAATATGATACGAAAATTACATAGATACCCACTTGGCACTTTTATATTTGTTGTCAGAATTATGTACAAAGAAGTATATAACCATAGAGTGAAAAATGGCAACCGGTCAGACGTAAACGGATAAAGTAGAAAGACATATGTCATACAGTTCTATACTTCTTTAATTAAGTTAATATGAAGTAGGCATTCATAGACATGCGGCTTAATTTGGTCAGTAAAACACAGGGGACCCTGCTACTTAACAAAAACTCCGAAACACAGAATAAAATCAAAGATCAAGTGAATAACAATATACTGCTAGGATATGCTATGTCATGCTGTACTTATACTTACTTTATTTGCTTTAATATGTCTTTGAATGAATTCTTTGCAAAACTGATATCTGTAATTTAACCAAGCAGTTGAACTTTAAGATAGGTCATAACCTGAGCGATAGATTTGAAAACTGAAGTGATTTGTAATTGTCAATTTACGTTAGCAAGGCCCTATCATGTAATTACAGTGTATAATCAAGCACAGCAAATATTCCACTTTAAACTGTTTGATAACATTAAAAGAAACTTCAAGTAGATAATTGCAGTAAAATAGTGGACAACTCTTGGTTTCGAGAGTTTCAAACAAAACGTTTACGAAATCAACCAGAAAATAACAGCGAAGAAGCGAATAATGTGCGCATAGCGCTCTATTTCTATCGTCGATTAGATTTTTTCATGCGTATGACGAATGCGCGGCGTAAAAATCGCGATCCTGATGAACGCTGAGCTAACATTGCTACCCGGTGGATAAAAATTATTTACATCTTGACTAAAATATTGGTATAAAATTTTGTACAATCGGAGAAAAAAAATTCTGTGCTCGCGCTTGGCGCTTATTACACTGACTACAGCTGCCCTAATGGAAATTCTTTGCTGAACTGGAGAATGAATAAAGGAATAAGGCAGCAGTGCAGCGATGCAATTGGATAAAAGTTCAAAATGTTATACATAATTATAATAATTGAACTTTGAAGTTCGAGCGAAAATAGCAAGTTTTAAAAAGTGACGTTCAGCAAAATTTGACGAACTAAGAAAATTGAAAATTGAAAATAAGACATAGATCCGGAAATGAGCTGGCGTTGGGATCGAATGATAAATTAGGTTAGCCGACTGAATGATTCAATGAAACAAGAAATATTTTAAGACTGTATAATTGGTGTGGAACAGCCCTTAAACATTCTGCAATTTATGGAGGATTTCTGGAAATGATCTTACTTTACCTCACGTTTGCACCCCGACACTAAGTGGACTGACAATGGTTATAAGAGTAAAATAATAGACTTTCTAATTGTGGTACGAGAGAGCATATAATTATAAAGCCTCGAGGTCCCCAGCGTAAAATTCTTGGGGAGATATAATTAAATTTCTCAATCGTGATGTGGTAGTTGGTACCCTGATAATGACTTGTAAGTTATACTTTTACTTATACGGATACCCATGTCTATACTAGTGACTCTACGCGTTTCCAAGAAAGCTTGATTACTTGATTCAATTTTATTCAATTTCCCGTAAAATAATTCCTCCTGTCCTAACCCTACTAGATACCTCGCGATGTTCATATGTAATAGCAGATAATTCAGGGGTGTAGGAATGATTTTCTGTGCGCAACAGTCAGAATTTCAAAGGTTTTATAAATTTCAATACTATAGTACCGTACAGTTAAAGTTTGTCGAAGGCAAACATTTTTGAGCATTTTACTCGTGCAAAACGCCTGGAAGCAATTTGGCAATATGAATAGAGACATTGTTGAACTATGCTTACACTGTACACCTTTAAAATATTCTCTAAAAAAATATAACTCTACTAGTATATGATGTTTTCAAGAGTCACTTGGCGGAAAAAGTCAACGAAATTATGGCACTCAACAACATAGTTCATAAGCTAGTCCCCGCCAACATGACAACATGTTCCAGCCTCTAGATATTACGGTAAATCGTGTTGCCAAGGACATTGTCCGACGTTGTTATAGATCATATAACTCAGGGGAGGTAATGAAACATTGCTAGGAAAGCTCCACTTGATGTTAAGGTTAACCTAAAGTTGTCTAAGAGTAAGATAAAACCATTTTACGCCGAATGGCTTGTAAAAGTTAACACTGAAATGCAGGACCGGGGTAGTTTGATAAAAAATGTTTCCATAAAGCTAGAAATCACTGATGCTTTAAGCATGGATTATATCATGCACGAAACTCAATTGATGAAGATGATATGTGATATTAGACACTGATCATGTACACATATTTTAACATTTTTACTGCTTAACGACTGCTTTTCTTATTTACTGTATAAAAATGGATTTAAAAATCATTTGCTGAAATTTAACAAAAAAGAAAGTCGGATTTTTGATGGTTTTAAATGCCTTCTAGCGTTCATATTAATGTCTGTTCATATTTATGTCCGTTCATTTAATGTCCGTCCAAATAAGGTCCGATAAGGTAGATTTTCATTTACCGACCAGTGACCAGAAGGTTTGAATCAGAATCACTGCCACGTGTCCAAATAAATATGGTTCACCTTCCCGGCCACCAGTAGAACATCTTTGCTCTAATATAAGAATATAATTACTTATTACCGCTACAGCTAGAAGTTATCATTCTGCCAGGGCTGTATTGATGCTTGTATAGTTTTTGCATCACTATTCCGTGTAACTCAGTCTAACTGTAAGCTGCTGCATTTGTACACCTCAACATTAAATAGCGCCATCATTATAATGCAATGTAGTAAAGTTGTGACTTCATGCTAATTAGCGTTATTGTCAATTGTGTGAACGATCAATTACAACTACAAGTTAAGTATAAACTTTGCTGTCTGAAATTCGTACAGTACTTGACCACTGTACATTTGTTTGCGTCGTTATATACACTGCTGAGTGAGTTTTCTAGTTCGCCTCCAGCTTACCTTTAATGCTTACTTGTTATTCATCAGCTAAACTCTTCTTAAATCTTCTTAAGCACCCTAGTCATTACCACTATATGTCCGCAATTAGTTACGGTTGTGACGTGTGATGATGTACAATGAGTGTTTTTATTCCTTTGATGTGTGGACATTTAGCAATCTTCTTACGTTACAGTTGTTATAAAATAAAATTATCAAGGAAAACCTCTAAAATAAATTGAATGTTAGCAAAGCGTCATTAGGTAACTGTTGTAGGTAAGGTGAGAGGATGGAAGTGAGATCTAAACGAGACAGGGGCTTTATTGACACGAAGAAAGAAATGTTGTGGATAGAATGGCAGACACTGACTAGGCATTACACTGACGATCAGCTCATAATAGGAGAGTGGTTTTACGATATATACCAGAAATACTCCGAGCCTATCAGGTTTTACTTTCTATCTTTGTATAAATCCAAGTTGCAAATGTATTGAGGACGACGTTAGGTATATATGAACGTATTGTTGTCTTGATACATACAGAGTACAGACCTCTTGAAATGTCTTGCAGAGGTCCACAAATTAAATTGTATTATAATGTAAGAAATGTAAAATCTTAATAGATCGCTTAAAATAGATTAAAAAAGTTTCTTCACTTAAATCGGAATAGGTTTAAATTTAAATGCAAATGTAATAATAAACTTAGAAGTCGTATTTAAAAAAATAGTGCCATTCATATAAGCAAATATCAGATACTAAATATTCAAGATGTGCGTTAATACAATTACACTGTAATTAAGTTGGACTCTTGTGAATAATTCACAATATACTCATCAAGATGAATATTTCACAACTTCCATATAAACCGCAATCTTAAAATTTCCGGTTTGATTTTAAAATTATGTTTTATACGTGCCCAGTTAATTCTCACCTTATTTTGTTGACAAGTTTGTAAAAACCTTAACAAGGTTTTAAAATACCGTTTTATAGCAAGGCAAAATATTTAATTATATTCTGCTACAACTAAAACTAGCTGTTGAAGCCTCCAACACAGCTTTATTCAGGAAGTACCACAACACTGAACATATCTACCAAATGATTCTGAACTTTAAGCACTTCTACCAGGAGTTGACCTTTCCCAGAACAGTTCTCTTCGCTATCTTCTTTCACGACTACATATATGATCCTAAGGTGACCGCTATTTCAGTATAGTCGCATGCACAGTTGACGTGCTAATTTATAAAAACATATAAATTTATAGTGTTAGAACACACTTGAATAACATTCTGGAGTAACTACTGACTTACCACTGAGATTTAAACGAATTCAATATCATATGGTATAAAGTTTAAATAAAACTTTAAATAAAGCACATATTTTAATCTTTACAGTTTCACTCACAACCTCCCACGATATAATCTAACTTTTTAAAATTGTCAGAGCAACAATAACGAAGAAGAGAGTGTCCGAGCATTTGAGAGCTGTGCTAGAGACGTAGAGCTTGATGCGGACGTGGTGAAGGGTGTGAAACATATGATCAATCTCACATCATCTGGTCATTATACTAAGGTAAACCTCATGTCAGTGTCAGTATTATAACAGGTATATAGGGCTGCATTGAGGGGGGGGGGGGGGGGGGGGGGGGAGGTTGTTTTAACTATTTTAGGTCAGTTGTCAAACCTTCCCCCAGTCATACTGTCATAGTGAAATACATTTGAAGGGAAGAAAATTGTAATTCGATAAGGTTCCGGATCAAAAGATGGGTATGTTTTGTGTTTGCTAGATTTACACATAACTGAATTAGTATTTGTTGCCAACGATTATGAGTGAGTCCTAGATGAGAAGTTTTTCAAAATACTAAAGACAGTAAAAACCCAGTTTACTGTACACTCTGATTTACCGTTTTACTTTCCCTCCCCCCAACTGTACGTTAAATCAGGGTTTCATGCTGTATAACTACAGGAGCTGGAAGATGACAAACCCAAGACACGTGACGTTCACTACTTTCTGGATTTTGATCTGTCTATCTTGGGCAGCAATCCTGTGGAGTACACGCTCTACGCCAAAAAGATACGGAAGGAATATAGCCATGTGGGAGAGGAGGAATTCTGCACAAGGCGAGCTCAGGTAATTTCAATAAACAGCATTCAGTATACTCATTAAAAAATTATCATATTTTGAAATAAGAATAGGCTTGAATAAGCAGTGATAATTTTTCAAGCAATTAAGCAATTATAATGGCCCGTCCAATATCAGTCCTTAGAAGGGGGAACTAACTAACTCTAGCAAATGTAATCACATGAACCCCCAAATTTGAAACCACCGTTGAAAGATCCCTTATATTGGCAACAGACCCTCTCCTTTAACATTTTGTTTCCCTCCAGGTGATGGAGAAGTTTTTAGAACGAAAGTACGTGTTCTGTACGAGAGAGTTCCGTCAGTTTGCGGAGGAGAACGCCCGGAAGAACGTGCAGGGTGAGGTTGTTATCCTGAGAGGACGCGCCGAACATCTCAGAACGTGCAAAGAAAAAGGGCACACGTGCGGTATTAAAGATGGGGAAATAGAAGGTGGCACTGAGGTAGAAGAATGTACGGACCTTTGCTCCCAAGATTGATTTATGGTTACCGAACAGCTAAAATGCAATTGCCTGACGGATGATTTATGATAGAATTTGATGCACAACTACTGAATAACACAAAGATAACATTTTTAAGTGCGACAACGTGTCATGCCATGAGATACAGGGAAAGCTTTATTGAAAGCAATAAATTACGTAAATTGTGTCACAAAGAAGCATGTGTCATGTCGCTGGATCTATTCCTAATAAATTTGAGCACTACCGTCAAGATAGTGACAGAGCTAATGCATTATAAAATTAAAAGTAATAATTGTAACCAAGATGAACCCCTCTTTTGATCAAATCCTCCATTATCTGATGACTGAACAGTTGCTGCTTTGTCCAGGTGGTTGAGGGGGACTGGGTATATTTTATTGAACAAATAAGTTGAGAAGCTACTTTGACATTTACATTGCTACATTTTGAAGATTATTATAATATAATTTTGGTGTATTCAAGGTTTAAAGTTCCGTATAACAAAAGATCTTATTCGTAACATTCAATGTTTAGTTGAAAATCTCCGAAATGGAAAATGAATTGCTACTTATATAAGCTTATAAGGTAGTGTCTACAGATTAGTAAGAGGCAGCAGCAAAACACAGTGGTGGCAGAAAGAAAATATAATATTCAATCATTCCATCAACGAGTAATTATCGATAGGCATATTCATAAGCGCAGCATTTTATTATATCGTTATAATTATTCATATATGCACAATGACAAACTGGATTGTGGATGAGTTTTAAAGATTACCATATTTTGTGGGAACCCCACTACACCTATTTATGTTTGTGGACTCAAAATCTTCAACCTTTTAATCAAATTAAACTCATAGGAAGTTCAATTTGTATTTGGTTTTGAATACTGAATACGATTACGTCACAAAAGTGAAAAGGAAACGTCCTTTCTGTTCTTACACTGGGCCACCTACATGTTGTGATTTGCTGGGCTCTTATTATTTCGCTCCTCCACAAATTATCACGTGACTTGGGTTTTTTGCCCGTAGCTCCTCAGGGAAGAATTTTTACCCTAAGTCATGGGGGTGATTCAGAATCAGCGTCTGAAAATACACCGATTGAAATCATTTTCATACCTTCATTGCCTTTTCACAAGTTTAAAAAACATTTGGGCGAGCGATTTAGTGGGAGAAGATTTGATGTCTAGTACTGATACATATCACGCCATCACAGGTAATATCATAGGTATTCAGGATCATTTTATTCATTTTTGTCGTGCTGTTGAGACCTGAAAATTGAGCTGTTCTGTTTAACTTTTTCTTCTTCCTTAAAGTCACAAAATCTTGGGGGACTTGTGCCCCACGTTCTTTTGGGAATATGACCCTGATTTATATCATAAACCTCAGCTAATTACATTTTGAAGGCCGTGAGTGAATGGGGAAAAGAGATCGACTGATAATATTCCAAATGAGTTTCCCTTGTTTAGCCTGTGTTATAACGGGTCTTATCTTTTCATAAGATAAGAAAATCGCAACATGATAAGAAACATTTTTTCTCTTTTGTTCTTTTCTGCTTTTTTTGAACAATATTATCAATAACAATAATGAATAACAAAAAATCACCATACCATTCACAGCTTACCGTACAATTAATGATGTTAATTAATACCCCAATAGGTAGGTAGAATGAACAGTGTTTATAGTGTCTCCTTCTTTTAAACAAAACTAAAAGAATTGATAACAAAACCCAAATATCGGGTAGAGTACGTGAACCGTATGTGTATGCAAGTTAGTCCCTCCCCCCTTCCACCTGATAAATTTAATTAAATCATATGACCGTTACCATGAAATACAAATAGCACAGATAAAGAAAATGAAATCAGTCTCTCTTCTAAGACCTCACTCTTCTAATCTTCCAGTTCCATGATTGGCATCATAAACTTCATAAAGAGATCGAGTCACCGATTATATTCGCGATGTGTTTTCCTTGTTTAGCCTGTGTAGTGTTACAACTGGTAATTTTCTTTGTATAGGAACATCGCAACACGCTAATGTGCGAATGACAAGGTGAAACATTGGAATGCCGCGCTCCGAAAGTCAAAATCGTTATCAGTGTTTTGTGTTTTTCTTTTTATTTCTGATTTTTTGGAGTAATAATATTATCAATAACAATAATACATAACAAAACAATCTCGGCACAATCAACGATTGTGCAGCAGTACCGTTCACAGTACCGTTCACAGTACCGTTCACAGTACCGTTAACAGTACCGTTCACAGTACCGTTCACGGTACCGTTGATGACGATAGTGTTCAAAGTACCGTTCACAGTACCGTTCACAGTACTGTTCACAGTACTGTTCACAGTACCGTTCATAGTACCGTTCACAGTACCGTTAACGGTACCGTTCACGGTACCGTTGATGACGATAGTGTTCACAGTACCGTTCGCAGTACCGTTCACAGTACCGTTCACAGTACCGTTCACAGTACCGTTCACAGTACCGTTCACAGTACCGTTCACAGTACCGTTCACAGTACCGTTCACAGTACCGTTCACAGTACCGTTCACAGAACCGTTAACGGTACCGTTCACGGTACCGTTAATGACGATAGTGTTCAAAGTACCGTTCACAGTACCGTTCACAGTACCGTTAACGGTACCGTTCACAGTACTGTTCACAGTACCGTTCATAGCACCGTCGCAGAGTTCCGGGAGAGGGAGAAGTAGAAGTAGTTACAATTTCCCTTTCTGTTTGGGTGTGGGTACAGTTACAATTAGGCTTCAGATATGAGTCCTGCTTAACGACACACCACTCTTCATCGCGTTGGAAGCTCTCTGAACTTCGTAACTCGTAAATTAAGGCTTTTTCTTCATGGCTCAAATTCTGGTCGAGCCACTCCTTGTACAGTTGTACCTCCAGATCGTTCTGTAGATGTAGCGGCATGGATAATTGTCTTTAGATTAATTCCAAGGTTCATCACAATAACTATCATTATTGCTGCTTAAAATGGTTTAATAAAAATTGGTTGGCAAGATGGAAATTGGAATCGATTGTTCAGTATCGTTTTAAAATTTCTGACCCATATGCTCACCCAAGGACAAAATAAAATCGCGATTATTTAGGCCAAACATCGCGGCGAATTCGCAGAAATTTCCACGGTTCTTCAAGTGAACAAGTTGTTCTTATAGGCACATGGTTCTGGAACAAGTAATCCTATGGCATATTATCATTATGGTTATCGGACAGAATGAGGTTTAAATCTTTAATTCTATCGAGTAGTGGCAAAATTTTGCAGCTCGGTGGCATTTCAGGTGGACGACTTAAAGGTGGCGGCATGTTTGAATCCACATTCAAGCAAATTGTGTGTAGAATCTATTGACTACATTACAATTCAATCTGATGAGGGATTGCAATCCAGCTCGACAAGTCATACGCCAAGACTCACCAGCTCAACTAGCCCCAAGCAACCTGCCCATCGAATTGTTAAACCTTGGATAATGATCCCTATAAGTATAAATCTGTAAGTTATTATTTATTTTATTTAAGGTATTTTAAACCATTAGATTTCAAACCATTGTCCACATTCAGGTACATTATAATATGTATAACTACAAGCTAAAGTGACTACATTTCAATCTGTTGAGGGATTATCGGTGTTTGTTGTCTTAATGTTGTCTTATTGTTGTCTTATTGTTGTCTTATTGTTGTCTTAATGTTGTCTTATTGTTGTCTTATTGTTGTCTTAATGTTGTCTTATTGTTGTCTTATTGTTGTCTTATTGTTGTCTTAATGTTGTCTTAATGTCCCATCGGTGTTCGTTCAAGTCTCCTAGTCTGAATATGTGGCCAGGTTGATCGACAGGTATGTTTCGCAACCGAAGATTGTCTTGATGAAGTTGTAGAATCCCAATTTTCTGTTGAGTTTTCGCTCTTTGTTCCATTGTTGAACAAAAAGGGTTTTCATAGCCTCGCTGATTTTGAGAGGGTTCAAAAGATCGCTTCCTCCTGATCATTATATGATCCTAACATGTTTTTTTCGGTTTTCTGAAGTCCGTACCTAGTATAGTAGTACCTACCTCTCGATATACGATTTTGGAAGTTTTTCCTGAAACTACTTTTGTTCATGGTTACATATACTTATAACTTTATAAAGAACGTGATATTTGGCCTTCGGATTTAAAGGAAAATGCGCAAATTTGGTCCTCAGATTTAAAGAAAAATGCACAATTTGTCGCGGAGAATTGAACAAAATCGCAATTCCGCACGTGTCGCGATTTCCTTTTGACCTTGTGCTCACCTGGTCGAGGAACTGGTTGATGCATCCTTAACTTATACCTTATCGGACTTTATTTGAACGGTCATTAATTGGAAGCTTGAGGACCTAGCATTCATTTTAATGCCCGTTAAGGGGGGGGGGGGGGGGGGGTTCACCCTGATTTTTTTGTGAAACTTGGTCCAACAAACTAGGACCGGTGACCAAACTTTTGAGGGGGTCCCGGACCCCAACCGCCAAACGGTGCCCGCGGGGCAGCCACGCCCATATTTGGTCCAAATTAGGCCCAATTTAGCCAAATACCCTCAACATGCCCAAAACCCAGATTTTAGGTGCTTTACTTGTAGCTAATGGTCCCTTGAACTCGTATATGAATTTTTATCAAGATTGGACAAAAAATGACTGAGTTATGAGCCAAAAACCATATGCCCATATTTGGGCATACGCACCAAATTTGGTCGATTTTGGCCCATAAATTGGTCAAATATTAATATTTTTGAATGTAACCAACTTTATATGGAAGGTAAGCCTATACTACACATTCTCTATGATTATCAGCTCACTTACTACCAGACACTCAGACATCCTTTACCCTAACCAACACCCAAGTTGCTGCTTAATCCTTGGCATGGTTCTCTTCGAACGTTCATTTACCCGTCTGCTCAGAGTGTTTGATGATGTATCTACCCAAAAAGTTACCTTCATGTCGGACATTATTTAACCGGACATTGCGTGAACGGACATAATTTTGAACGGACATTAAAATGGACACCCGAATGCATTCATTTAATATAAATTTAATGTATTTAATTGAACTACCTTATCGGACTTTATATTTAATGGGGGGGGGGGGGGGGGGGGGGGTTCACCCTGATGTTTTTGTGAAACTTGGTTTCGAGATAGCAGTTGACCAACAAACTAGGACCGGTGACCAAACGTTTGAGGGGGTCCCGGACCCCAACCGCCAAACGGTGCCCGCGGGGCAGCCACGCCCATATTTGGTCCAAATTAGGCCCAATTTAGACAAATACCCTCAACATGCCCAAAACCCAGAATATCAAGATTGGACAAAGGATGTGAATCTGATCAGGCGAACTGGAACATAAGGGTAGTATCAAGTAAGGATGAGAATCTATAGATTATGGAAAGGATTGATGGCAAGAATACTATATTATGCAAATCTGTGTTGCGGGAAGAGGATCATGGAAGTTTGTGTAACTATTAACTTATCAATCAAGGGTGA